GTTTAGTTCAGAAGTATCGAATCGGTATCGATATCGACGATACTGCCTTGAAAAATATCGGTATCGTATCTTAAACAAAATAAGTGGTATCGCCCATCCCTAACACGAAGCTGCTGATGATACTGAAGGAGCTTATATATAGAATGCTGTGATAGGCATCGTATCCCTATTGGTAGTCGAGGAGCAGCTGAGAGTCAGCTGATGTGAGCTTGACTGACATGACCTGCCAGAACTAACGCTACGCTTGATTTCTGTAAGGACCACTGTCGTCAAAGATTATTGACAATTAGCATACATAACCCCCCAGGGTAAACAGAACAGAACCAACATAAATGTATTGCAGATATCATTAGTGTTCAATAATTTAATGTACACATTTTAGAAATTAGTCTGATTCAAAGGGGAATCAGAAGGCTGAATCCTGACTGGACGAGAGGAAGAGCTGGGGATGAAGGAGGGCAATTAGCTATTGAGCCAACACGAAGTAGGGATGGGCGTATCGATCCAAAGTATCGATATATCAAAAGTTTAGTTCAGAAGTATCGAATCGGTATCGATATCGACGATACTGCCTTGAAAAATATCGGTATCGTATCTTAAACAAAATAAGTGGTATCGCCCATCCCTAACACGAAGCTGCTGATGATACTGAAGGAGCTTATATATAGAATGCTGTGATAGGCATCGTATCCCTATTGGTAGTCGAGGAGCAGCTGAGAGTCAGCTGATGTGAGCTTGACTGACATGACCTGCCAGAACTAACGCTACGCTTGATTTCTGTAAGGACCACTGTCGTCAAAGATTATTGACAATTAGCATACAGTTTGGATTGGCGGTACAGCTATGCTCTGGTCAATGACTTCCTGAGCATCCATGCACTGCAGCCTAGCATGGAAAAGAGCCGGGAGAGCAGCGATAACCCCCAAAACACAACTGATCCCCAACACAAACTGACAGTGAAAATCTCAATGCCTTAAAGCAACACTATGTAGTTTTTCTACCTTAAAATAATGTCTATAAAATTATTTCAGTGGTAGAATACCTCTTAACCGGATGAATTCTACTGCCGCTGCTACCTGAGCAGCCTCCTAGCCACTAGAACCACACTCTGTAAGTTTTGTGTTCTGGTCGGTACACACAGCCCCGCCCATCCCCTGCCAACGGAAGAGTGTGACCTGCTTTACGGCATACGTCACATATTTTACTCGTAGCCTGGGTGGAGTTAGCCAACAGCTAACTATAAGACAAAACAATCTAATATGCAAATCTCAAAACCAACGCCATGGCAGAGCCAGCAAAGACACCAAAAAGGGATTTGTCGGAGGAAGCGACGAAAAGAAAGAGAGCAAGTGATCGGACACGTGCCCGAACACAAATCAATATCGGACGGGCTTACAAATCTGTAATCTAAAGCGCTCCCAAAATAGTGAATAGTTCAAGCTTATACAGCAACAGTATTTACGGCACTGGTAACAGACAATTGCGCTTATCAACCACATGGGGGAAACGTGAGCAAAAGTTACATGGTGTTGCTTTAAGCAGCAAGCATGTTGCCCTAACCCAGTGACCCAACGAGTATGTTGCCAAAACCTGCATAAGCCATAGCAACAAGCATGTTGCCCTTAACCAGATGACCTAACGAGTATGTTCCGAATACCTGAAAAGCTTAAGCAACAATATGTTCTTAATAACAACCAGATAGCCTTTAGACAAGCATGTTTGCAACGGAACCCAATATGCTCCCAATATAACCATAGCTTTAAGAACAAGCATGTTCCAATAGCAACCAGACAGCTCTGGAACAAGCATGTTTCCAATACAACTGATAGAACAATCGTGTCCGATATTCGAACAGAATCAACACTGAACCAACCTCACCGAACAACGCCCGCTTACCATTTTCTCCCCGGAGCTGTGCCACAGCTGATTATGATTCTGCCCGCGTCATAATCGTTATTTCCTGTCTATCATCGCAAAGCTGCCCGAATCTGCTGTTTACTGCTATACAAATAAAGGCGACCAGACTTGGTAGTTTAAAGCACAGCATGTTGTAGCAACAAGCATGTTGCCAATGACAAGAGATAATAATGCACATTTTCAATATGATCGCATAAGCCTAGCACGAGCATTTTACTGAAAACGACTAAATAAACCTAAGCCACATGGATAGCCTTAGCAACAAGCATGTTGCCAATAATCTGAAAGCATTAAAAGGAACTTATCTTAGCTTCGTAAAGACATTCAGAGCTGTGACGTGGATGCTTGATCTCTTGATATCCTTCTTGATGCGGGGAGTGCGGATCCCATCTGAACTTGTTCTTGAGTCAGTCACATAGTATAACTCATGGAGTTCATGTCAATAATGCAGCGATGCGAGAAGCAATGCTAACTCAGTCACTTCCAAATCAGGCAGCTTATGATCGATGCAGCGTATTCATGTGTTCGAGTTCACAAACTAATAGCTACTGAGCCAACATGAAGCTGCTGATAATACAGAAGGAGCTTATATATGGAATGCTGTGATAGGAGTCGTATCCCTATTGGTAGACAAGGATCAGCTGAGAGTCAGCTGATGCGAGCTTAACCGACGTGACCTGCCAGAACTAACGCTACGCTTGATAATTGTCCAAATTTACTTAAATAATTAATTAAATTAAATATAATAACTTAATAAATTAAACAAATTAAAGGGGTCATATGATGTTGCTAAAAAATAACATTATTTGGTGTATTTGGTGTAATGCAACATGTTTAGGCGGTTAAAGATGAAAAAACACATTATTTTCCACATAATGTACATTATTGTTTCTCCTCTATGCCCCGCCTTTCTGAAACGCGTTGATTTTTACAAAGCTCATCATTCTGAAAAGCTAGGTGTGCTCTGATTGGCCAGCTATCCAGTGCGTTGTGATTGGCCGAATACCTCAAGCGTGTGACGGAAATGTTACGCCCCTACCATACTGTAATGCCGTGTCCCGGCGGGACGAGATAAAACCAGTAAAACCCATTATAAACGAGGCATTTGTTGCATCCAGTGGGGACATAATTACTGATTATAATGGCTTATATTGTCTTTTTACGCGTTGCGTTGCATCGCGCTGCATAAACATAAAACCATGTCTGCATTTGTGATCGGAGAAACGACAAACAACAAGCCCTACTCTGCACTGCTTAAAACTCGCGTTTGAATCGTCAGTGGCAAATTCTTTAAATATGAAAACGTACTAATAGGCTGTGACTCAGAAGCGC